CTGTCTTCTCTATATTCACTTGAAGTCCCGTCTTCGCTGCCTCGCCTCTTCTGTCAACTTGTTAGTTTTCGCCTGTAGATCTTCCAGTTTATGTGACATCAGGCACAAGTCGTCACTGGCGAAATCCAGATCTTCTAGGTTGTTTTCTTCAGTCCAGCGTATCCCCCTCTTCTCTCTCCCCACTTTTTGCTGCATGATCCAGTCGACCACAATCAGGAATATCATGGGGGATAGTAGGCAACCTTGTTTCACTCCTGTCTTCACTTCACTTCACTTCAAAAGCATCACTGAGCTTCCCACTTGGCATGTGGCGTCTTCATATAGTTGTTGAATGAGGCTGATAAAGGTTTGCGGTACTCCGTATTAATGAAGCAGTTTCCAAATTACTTCTCGGTCGACGCTGCCATAGGCCTTCTCAAAGTCGATAAAGTTGAGGTAGAGAGCTGATTGCCATTCTATACTCTGTTCTATGATGATGCGAAGCGTTGCAATTTGGTCTGCACATGATTTGTACTTCCTGGAGCCTGCCTGTTCCGGTCGTAGTTTTGAATCCAGTGCATCCTTAAGCCTCTCCAAGATGATGCGGTTTAATATTTTGCTTGCTTTGGCTGGACAGGAGAGTGATTCCTCGCCAGTTCTAGCAAACACTGAGGTCTCCCTTCTTCGGCAGTTTGACAAGGTAACCCTTCTTCCCATTGCCGGGTACCTTCTCTTCCTTCCACACCTTCTGCAATAGTGGTGTGGTGTGAGCATGTCCGCTGTTGTCTCTGCGTCTGTTCTCAGTGCTTCTGGCGGTATCCCGTCTGGTCCTGCTGCTTTCCCACATTTCAGTAGCTTTATGGCGTTCAGGACTTCCATTTTTGTTGGAGGATTTATGTTCACTTGTAGTTCAGCGGCTGGGCTGTAGGTGGTATTTCTGGACGAAATGCAGATGGTGGTTGATTCAAGAGCTTCTTGAAGTGGTCGGCCAATTGTTTCCTTTGTTTCTCTTCTTTCGTAATTAAATTTCCTTCATCATCTTTTATAGGTTTCATCTGCGTTGATCTTTTCCCGGATGGCAACCTGGTTATTTGATACAATGTTGTCAGGTCTCTCCTACCAACCTGCAGCCTATTCTGCTTCACTTGCCAGTGTTTCGTAGAAGTGTCTTTTGTCTTTGTGTGCACTCTTCTTCACTTCTTTGTCCAGTGTTTTATACATCGTGCTCAGTTCCTCTTGTCGTTGAGCATCCTTGCACTGGTTTATCTTCTGCTTCAACATCACCATCTTCCTTTCCCTGCTCTATCAGCTTCCATGTATCCATCGAGATCCATTCCTTATCTTCTTTCTTCTTCCTTCCTAATACGGCTGTGCAGGTTTCTTTCCACATCTCTTCCAAAGACTTCCAGTGTTCCTCCATACAGGTTTCTTCAGGAATGTTCCTCGGTATCTCCCATTTTGTCTTGATGACTGGCTGCCGTGAAGATTTCCTTTGTAGTTTGATCCTTCAGTTTCCGAGTGTTGTACTTGAATTGAGGTCTATCACCAGCTTCCTTGAAGGCTTTTAACTTGATTCGGAAGGTAGGTTCCTTGCACTGGATAGTGAGTGGTGTGAACCTACATCTGCTCCTCTTCTTGACCTTGTGTCAAGTAGACTGCGTCTCCATTTTCTTGAGATTGAGATAAAGTCGATTTGATTCTTAGTGTAGTGTGTCCATCTGGTGAAATCGAATCCATGTGGCTTTGTGGATATCCTTGTGCTTGAACACACTGCCTCGCCTCCAATCACCAAATCTTTGAATGCACAGAATTCTGCATACAGTTCTCCATTCTCGTTCATCACCTCACCGAGCGCTTCTCAACCCATGGTTAGTTCTCTTCCTGTGTTGTCCCCTCCCAGTCTGGCATTCATGTCACCCATTAGAATTTTGATGTCATCAACTAGGATGTGATCTTGTCTAGTGTTGATTGGAGTTGTCTGTAGAATTCCTCCTTTTTCTTTTGCTCTGCATTATTTGTAGGTGCACAGCGTAGCATTGTATGATTGTGACCTTCCTTCCTTCCTTCCTTTTGAATTGAATCTTGCTGTCATGATCCTTATCGTTGAGGAGATTGGTTCCCACTGCATGAGAGCCTTCGATGCTGTTGAAGGGGACATCATGATAGCCACTCCATAACTCAGTGTGCTCGTGGTTGTCGTCTGGGTGACAATATCGGAGTAGATTATTGATTCTGCAGTTGACAGTTTGGAGAGTCCACTCCCATTCCATCTGCTTTCGCAAATTCCAAGCACTTCAATGTGACACCTTCTCATCTCTTTTGCAATCTGGGCTGCCTTGCTGGGTTCAAACATGGTGGGGACATTCCATGTCCCCACGTTTACTTTCGCTTTGATCGAGAGAAGGGGAGACACATCGGCCAATTGGCTTCCTGAAGGCAGGCTTTCACCAACTGGCATCATTTCGCCTCTCCGATTCCAGCGAGGGATAATTTTGTTGTTATTTTTTATATATCGTTTGTGCTTTGAAGTTTGTTTAGCGGTTAGATTTGTTATACGGGGTAGGGTTGCTAGCCCTATGCCCAACCTTCTCTCTTTACCCGGGCTTAGGACGGGCTGGTAACTAGTGAACTAGTTAACCATGCGAGGTTATATATATGACCACCTAATTGATAGTCAATTTAGGCATCAAGCCGTATTCATACATTCTCTTAAATGATCAGAATCCAACATTTCATCGTCTGTTGTTCTACTACCAGCTTATATGGACTGATGTTGAAAACACTTCCGACTGACGACTTCCTGTAAACTACAATTAATCTCTCCCTATCAGCTTGTCTATACTTTTCAGAGTATTGTGTTGATGTAAATGACTTTCCAAAGGAAAATATTTATCAGTAGTGTGTTCCTTTTCCGTTAGAAAAGATATCCTTTTGGTATTTCGATGTATGAACTTTTGAAGTGTAAGGTAATTCATAAGATTGAATCTGTGTATACATTTGTAATTCAGCAGTAAGTGAATTAATAGATTGGTTATTTTTTTCAAATTTATTTCGTTATGAGTGGTATTAGAAATCAATTTTTCAAGTTGTTATTCATCGTAGACTGACATAAATTGGAGGAACAAAGGAAACCTGGGAGCACTGGACAGCGGTTTCGTCCAACTGGTATGTGACTTCTCAGTAGTGAGCACTCACGACCCCGCACCACCAGGGATCGAACCCGCGACCTTAAGGTTCCGTGGCCATCGCGTTACTATTGGGCCACTGGGTCAGAATCCAGTGGTCCATATTTCCAGCTTCTGTTAGCTCACGATATAGTGCAACCGCCACCCAATTTCATCGTTGAGTAGCTGTTCTCACCACCATCAGGCTTTGTCCCCACCGGTCACGGTCATTCTACGATGAATAACAACTTGAAATGTTTCCGAATCCCCACAACTCCCTCAAAAATCAATTTTTCACTGTTAGAAAATGTTATTGTTGGTGATGGTAATTGATTTTGTAGTTATATTCTTTGATGTTGCATAAGTTTTCTAAAGTTAATCAAGTTGGAAAACAATAAAAAAAAGCATGACTTCTCCCATTCTTCGTCAGTTTAGAAATGCAGAGAGTAGGATGAATAATTTGTATAAGTGGTTTACAAATTGCACGGTCCATGATGACATTCCTTACAGCTGAGTAGGATTTTTTTCCACTGTTATCCAATTGTATTGTCAACCAGGTTTCTGCTGCATACTATTCAGCTAAGAAGAAACCACTCAGTGTGATTTTTATATTGCACCAACCAGCCAGATGAGAGCGATCTTTCATTTGCAGATCATTTTAAGCGGTTTTCTACTGATCAACTTGTTCAATAGTAGAATCTTTCGCCAGAGATGAATACTTTTTGTCTCAAGTAATAATAATAATAAATTATAACCAGGAAGCAGAGGTACCTTCCTTCTCAGCTTCTGCATACTTTCATATTAGGCACTTGAAAGCAACAGCACAAGAAAACTTCAACAGTTATTGGGATTTAAAAGAAAATGATGAAGTTAACTGACGAGTGGGTCATCTACCATCCAAGTCATGATTTATGAATTAGTAAAATTTCGGCATTAATTTGATACTACTGGTAGTAGTTCAGCGCATCCACTCAGCATAAAATGAGGATTAATACAGAGCCTAGCAGACAGAATACGTAGATTGACAACACACCCTGACGATCAAAGAAAATAAATAAACAGTTTATTCGAAATGTTACTAGAAAATCACTACCCTAAACAACTAATAAGAGAAAAGAAAAGGATACGGGAAACAAAAACAGGGAACGACAAGAAAAAGGAATATAAACAACTTGTGGTACTGCTATATAAAAAAGGTACATCTGAGTCAATGTAAAGAAAGCTCAGTACACCAGGTATTAGAACCACATTTAAGCCAATGAACCTGATTAAAAATAAATTTAATCAGCTTAAAGATCCAATAAAAAATGAGATAAAAACAATGTCGTACACAAAATATCTTGTACCGATTGTGCAGTCAACTATGCAGGTCAAACATCGAGAGCACTGAAAATCAGACTGAGTGAACGCAAATGATCAGAGACAGAGATACAAGAAAATAGAAGTGTAGAAAAACGTTCATCGATAACAGTCCATACTTTGATTGAAGAACATATTTATTGAAATAATATTGACATCATAAAGTCAAACGTGAACAAATAGAAAGAAAGATTATTGACTGAATTCATGTTCATACATATCATGCAGAACACACATGCAAAAAAGTGACTCAGTGAAACTGTCAACAACATGGAACATAGTACTAGAGGGAAACAATTACAAACCTATAACCTATATATATATATATATATATATATATATATATATATATATATATATCCGTAAATGTGTAACTAAATAGTTCCATCAATTGATGTGATCACTGGCAGTAATTTTGCTCGAAATGTTACCAAAAACTAAATAACATTGTGTGTAGACATTCATTAAAAAAAATATTATTATTATTATTTTTATTAGTCCCTTGGGTTCCTAGTGGAACATAGGGCTTCAGTAGCATTCGCAAATTCCAAGCACTTCAATGTGATACCTTCTCATCTCTTTTGCAATCTGGGCTGTCTTGCTGGGTTCAAACATGGTGGGGACATTCCATGTCCCCACGTTTACTTTCGCTTTGATCGAGAGAAGGGGAGACACATCGGCCAATTGGCTTCCTGAAGGCAGGCTTTCACCAACTGGCATCATTTCGCCTCTCCGATTCCAGTGAGGGATAATTTTGTTGTTATTTTATATATATCGTTTGTGCTTTGAAGTTTGTTTAGCGGTTAGATTTGTTATACGGGGTAGGGTTGCTAGCCCTATACCCAACCTTCCCTCTTTACCTGGGCTTAGGACGGGCTAGTAACTAGTGAACTAGTTAACCAGGCGAGGTTCATTAAAAATATAGTTCTAATAAATACATAGTGATGCATTTTTGAGATGAATGGGGATTTTTAATTTAGAGGTAGTATTCATCATTGATTGATATCAGTTGGGGATTTCATTGGTTCCCCGACTGATGTTAGTCCATGATGAATACCACCTCTAAATACGTAGTAGCTTGCTTGGTTTTAGAAAAATGAGTGGCGGTTATGTCGCGTTATAGACATTTAAACCATAGTGATTATCAATGTTGTGGGAAAAGTCGAGTTCCGAGTCTTATTTAATCATTATGAGACGATTTTTTTCAGATATGCTTTTATAATGAGTAGCTGTGTAACTTGTCTATTTTGATGGCGATTTCCTTACAAGTAAAAGGCATAGTTAACTAACACATGAGTATTAGTAGTTTGAAAGGTGATGGTGAATAGCACTGAAATAACCGGAAGCTAAGAATCCAATTTTAACAGATTAGTATTCAGTGTTTGACACTGAATAATTTTGATATTTTGATGATGTAGTGCTATGATTAGGGATGTTGACATAGGTAGCTTTGTTACACTTTAAACTTGAGTATACTCAAATAACGATTTAAACATCAAGTTTTACTTTTTGTTCAGTTCAGAGTTTGTGGAAGCGAACATTATACAGTCTTCAGTATCAGACCTAAATCACACCAAGTAGTAAAGACTAAAAATACCTAATGGCATCTAAGCAGATGTTAAGAAATTATTATGGGATTTCTATGACTGTAGAGCGAAACTTCACATTTGTAAATTGTTTACATCCTAGTAAGCATTAGGGAAAGTGGACAGTGAAACCTGTGTTTTCGTAAAGTATTTTGTGCACCAAACCTTAGAATAACATATTGTAGGCGCCATCTAATATACCTGCATACTGTGGACGATAAGTTGCCAAGACTGATCAGTGCACTTGCTTCAGTGAGGCTAGGTATGTAGGTCGTTCGTCTAGACCTATCCCTCACTGGATTCAAGAACTCCCCCCAGTATAAACTAGTAAAGGGCAAAGAAGATCAGTCAACTTAATTAATTTGTAACATGTGGTCGATATGAGACATTCATGTTGGACTACTGGTTCGATGTTATTCACAAAGTTTAACCAAACCTTCTTAAACGTCTACATCTCCCTTTATTATATTGTGCAGACCTGAGAAATTTTTAATTGGTAATCAGAGCTATTCACAAAAATAATTTGTTTAGTCTTTTTCGTTACCGTAGACGTAAAGTGACTGATTAATAAGGCATCCCGTAGCACTGCACATTGAAGTGGGCGACGGTGCCTTGGCATGCGCAACACGTTTCCAGCCCACTTCAATCACTCAATTTCACAATCTTATCGACTGAGTTACCCGTCTTACCTAGTACCCTTCGCATGACTTCGAGGCTACTCATTTCATGATTTCACCATACGCGAGCAATACTTTGAAGATACGAGTGATCAAAAGGCTATCACCGCCTCATGTTTCCTACTTTTAACGTCCATCTCTCTCAGTCGTATAAGTAAGTGCCCAAGCCAATGAACCAGAAAATAAAAAAGGGTTCTGTCAGCTGCACGTCAGCCTTTGCCTCCGGATACTATCAAGGCCCAGTAAAGCATAAGAGACTGGTAAGTGGGGATGCGGTTGGATTAGAAGGAGAAACAATCATTATTCATGTAAAGGCAAAGTGTATTCAGTTGTTAACCTACTGTTAACTTACATATGCAATAAACTAGACTCATTTTGTTCGACATCATCTTCATCATAGTGGCTAAAAAGCGTCCAACTTCAAAAAAACCTGCACAATTTCCTTCAGATCCAAGCAGAAATACAACAATAATGATCATGAGTTAACTGTTATACCAGGGGAAATATGATAAACGTGATTGTCCTCAGATACGTATAATCGGTAGTATTATTCAATTTACTTTGAAAGTAAATCTACTTACGACCTAATTGGAAGTATTATTGTGTAGCTCGGTCTAGGATGTCTCGATTGACCTGTCACTCACTAATGTATGACTTATAGTTTGGAGGGAAATAATTGCATATTGAATAATACCAGTCAATTAAAGTAGATTATCCCATATTTTGTTCTCGAAATTGGTTGTTTCATCTTGATGAACTCTGGGGCGTTGTGGTGAGGTAACTTAATTGTGTATGCACAGATGAATCAGATCGCCTGAAATACATATGAAGCATAAGCATTAAGGTTTGGGTTCTGTAGTAAGTGGTTGACCGAGACAGCAGAATTGCTTGACTTATCGTGTTGGTGAGTAGATGAGTATAATGGAGACTAGTCATATGCTTAAGACTTTCAGATCTCAACTGTCTTGTAGTAATGCTTCAACTACCTATAGTGGGTACCGTCAGCCCTGCAAAAGTTATTTTTCTCTCGGTATGAACGAATTTGTCACTTATAAAGAATGCAAAATGAATATCAATCATGTAATAATCAAATAATGGTGATCAGGCAGTTATTGAGAATAGAAATTCACATCTGTTTACAGTGACAAATCCCCAATATTATTAATTATTAAAACATTTCGAAATGAGGCATTTTCACGCAATGAAGCTCAGTACTGAAGATTATATAGACTTTGTGAGCAAATGATTGGTAAAGGAGAGTAAGAATCTACAGAAGCTCTTCATTTAAGGTTGAAAAGAATTCAATAATTCATGGAACATGTTGGAGTCGTATTTTCAGCAGATTTATCGACGACAAGAACATTCTAGACTTATTGACATACTGTTTCCTCAGGCATACGTAAATTTCGGTACAAAAAAACATGCAGAAATAAACATCTGATTTTAATTTAAGCCTTAGGGTTGGTTCTATGGCAAAACAAGTAAATCCGATTACCTAGGATCATGCTAAAACTGTGATGTAAAAATATTTGGCTAGTAAACTTCAAATATGAAAAAATTTAGCATATGTAGGTTCTGATCTTGAAGAATGCAAGATCATACGTTGTATACTATTTGAGAGAGACTCATCAATTGGTTGTATTTGTATTCCAGAACCTGTTGGAAAGTGAAAATACGATCGATCTACTCTTGTTCAGTCTTCTCAAGTTCTAGTTACGCTTCGAGGAAATATGAATCCTAAGATCTTGGATACGACATTAGTAAGGCTACATCTCCTATGGTTTTTGCAAGAAGATTACTCTCTCTTTTTAAAGACTGTTCTACATCGTTGTTTCAGATAAATAAACCTCTGCTGTCCAAATGAATACGCTTTTCTACATAGTTCTGTACACCAACCTACCTGTATAAGAGATGCGCACGTATCAGTAGCTATTTCTCACATACTTCGATTGATTGTCTGATAACACGTAAAGTATAACCGTGTTCACACCAGTGATGCATCATTTAGTCTACTGAAACTTACTTTACACTTAGTTAGTGCGCTTAGATCGAGAAATAACACTTCATAACTTTGTTTGACAGTCAATTTTTCTACTGAATGTATTTCTTTAAAGGAACAGTAGTGACATTCATATATTCCTGATCAAATTTATTAACTTTTTTAATCACTAACTTAGTTACTACACGGATGCCTCGATATTTCCTGGATATTATTCACTATATGAGTGGATACTGCGTTCGTGTTTTACGGGGAAGAACATCACTTACTGGACTGCAGGAGCACTCAACTGACGAGTCCCAAACAGGACGAAACGCGCGTCAAGCTAACCAACAAGAAGACAATAAAATATCAATACTGTCTAATTAACATTATGAATCAACCAAAAAGTCCGAATGATAATCAGTTTCAGCGATAATTTTTAAATTTTTTATTTGTAAGAAATATCATATCAAGTAGTCATCTAGATTAGTGTCAGTACTACCTACGTTTTTTGTTATCAGTAGTATAGTTTGGTCATAGAAAAAGAAAGATGAATAGTTTCACAGCGAAAAGTCGTTTAACTCATGACTTAATCGGTAACATTATTGTATAGATTGCTTAGTTCAAGAGCTTTCAATTGACCTCTGATCCACATGTGTATGGGATGTAAATAATCGCATGCGGAATATCCCATACACCTCATTAAGATAAAAATAGAACCAGGCATTACTGCGTAACAGTCCAAGTTGCCACACATATCGTCACATCAAGTACCAAGGCAATAAAATGGAAAATGAAGAAGGAAAGAAAAACTGGTCAAAGGAAATAGAAATTAGTGAAAGAGCGGAAGGAAGAATGAGATGATGAGGCTAAGTATAGTGATCAAGATGAGGATTGAGTTTTTATACATCCGTGCCACTGACATCGGTTCTGAGTCATATCATCTAGAGTTTCCAACTACCAGTTTCTCTTATCCCGCGGACATCACCCGGTTAGTATGCATCGCCCTACATAGCTCAAACTAACAGTCAAGGACTTCATGCAATGGTACAGTATTTTAGTTTGGCCGCCATGAGCCTTTTTTTCAGACTGAACCTACCTCAACCAACACTGTGTAACGGGGTAGTACCATGACACATGGAATATGCTACGCAAGCAACGATGGTCAAAAATCTGAATCCTTCACATGTTCCTCACCTTTAAGACAATCTCTTACAGATATAAAGAAGGACAGACCGGATTTCTTAGCAGTTCACTACAGACTCTTAGTGAGCAACCTGACATCACGGTGGCACCATAGATGATGTAAGTTGGCGGACACCATGCAAGCCTTTTGTATCCGTACATAGTTTACTTCATCCACTCACCAATCAGCACTGATACATCTGACTTCTCAATTAAGTGGAGTTTTCAACGTGCTCAACCGCTTCACTACTTACTCCTAGACAAGGCACCATTGAAAGCCAGTGTTGGAGTAACAATTTGAATTTGAGTGGTGTGGTGTAGAACCCATCGCGAACATCGCTTAATTGCTACTCAAGCTGTCTGGTAGATGTTGTATCTTGTCAGCATTTTCACTTAACAGGACTGCGTCATATGTGTACTCTGGGTCCACTGAGTAATCGACTGAGACATGGAGTCTCGGTAAAGTGCAGCAAGGAGATGGGAATTTTCATAAGCATGTCTATGACAAAGCTGAATAAGAAAGAAGAGAGTTGATGAGTTTGATGTACATTTCTCGATGTAGACAACTCATCTTATAACTCACTGTATGCTCTAACACACACAATATATTCGAATACACCGCTGCAGCAGAGTGATGTATCCATTCAGTAAAAGACACTGTCATTGGACCTTCATATTGACCGAGTCAAATGCCGTACTGAAGTCAAGAAATAAGAGTAGTATAGTGTTCTAAGTCAAACGGAAGGTGAAGATTTAATCGATGCACCCACGGACATATATGAAACCTGCCTGGTTTCCTCGTGTGTGCTGTACACTAACTTGGCCTACACGTTGAATGACTCCAGAAACTGAAATCTCAGGGACTTTTTTGTGGTTGCCATAAGGAGATTTCTCCCCATTCTTGAAGTCTGGAACAGTCAGTGACTGAAAGCTGTCGCAAGAGATCACACCTCATTGACATACGTTAGCTTACAATTCAGGTAACCTGAGTAATACTTCACAACCACTGACCACTAACCCACTAAACTTCCTTATTTCAGGTTACTTTCGACTTTCTCAATAAGATTTCAGGTGTCTGTCTAAGTGTTTCGTTCAAGATACAACTGGATGGCGAGGAAAGAATAGCATCTAGAATCCAGATGAACTGCTCCTCAAAGTATTTTTCCTCATCTTTCCTGTCATTGCCCCTGAGAGTTAATGGAGGATCTATCCTACTCCACTTTCATCTCACTGACTATTAAACATTTGACAAGTCCCTCATAAGTCTTGATAAGTCCAAATACCTGTTATTTGTCGCTTATCACCGTCGCCTTTTACTTGTCTCTAGCCTTCACTAACCAACGCTGTTGTTGGTCATTTCCTAAACTCTTTGCCAGTTAATATTTAAGTTTCTTCTTCTCTTCATTGTGCCCGGAGATTGCAAGACTGCGCTCTCGTGTGTCCCGTAATTCAGAAGCTGTTGAGAAACACTGAGACTTTCTAACAGCTTTCTAAGAGTTGGTTACCGTCTTCAATGCTGTTTTCACAACATATTGGAGATGGCATCAGCCTTCTTCAGGATAAATTATGTTATTCTGTTCCGACAACTGTGTAAACGGTTTGTCTCTGAAAGCAACCTCAATATTACTATCATGGAGCTACATTCGCAGTGGTTTCGTTACTGTAACTTTTCTATGTGGATTTAAGCACAGATACACATTTGGGCATATCAGCGTATAACCACCGTTCAATCATGTGGCTGAGGAACAGTGGTTATCTTTCACCGATCCACTTTTAGCCATAAATAAATAGTTGTCGAAGCATAGTTTAAGTAGGCGAGCATCATCATATGTTCCTTCCTGCGGTATTTCGAAAACACCGTCCGCGGGCCTTTCTACTAACCCTACCCTACCTACTTTTGCATTGAAATCGTTTCCCAAGACAACTATATCTGAACGTTTGGCTTTCAGTAGATGGCTACATAGTTTTCAGCAGAACTGATTCTTAACTTCATCTTAATTGTAGCCAGTGAGTGCACAACCAGAGATTACAACAAGGCAACTGTGAGTATCACTACTCTTTTTATTCTTCATTATGCTGTTCAGTTGAGCATAGCGCATCCTGCCTGAGCACTCAATGCTATAAGTACATCTGCAAGGTCGTGAGAACTAGTCATCGAATCTGCAAATCTCGAACGGTGAATTTCGTGGAGTTACCGTATTCCCATGTAGAGATTAAGTGAATAACCATGCTTAGTCCAGTTTACTCATCTTACAAACGCGGTACACATCCGTAGCGCTAGATGCCAAAGTTTTAGGTAGCAAAGCTAACTGGCTGGATCGACAGAGTGTGCAGATATTGAAAATCTAATACGTAGTTAAAAGCATGGTTGCAGGTGACCTAATTTTCTGTTCCATCAACTTGGATTATTGTCACAGATTGCAGAGCTGGAAAAAAGTAAAAATTATGCAGAAATATTGACGGATGGATTTGAATAATTATTAAAAAGGTGAACGTGAATTTTGATTTAAGGAACTTCAGTGTTGGCAGAGTTGTGAAGGTGGTTAAAACTTCTTAGCCAATTATACCTTGGAACGCTTCCTCTTCTTGAGTTTCCTTTGAAAATAGTGGCACGTAACCACAGAGTCTAAGGGATATCTGCTTAAGACTGTTCATAAATGGCCTCTTTTGTTGGCTTGAGATTTAACTTCAGCCGCCTTAAAGCAAGCTAGGATCAACTTTTAAAGCTCCCTGCTGCTTTTTATAGAGAAGATAGCACCAACAAGGACTGCTGATTACCTATTGAAAATATTTTACTTATATCACACCCGGTCCAGTCACCAACGTGACTTCGCCCTCCGGCCCTCATCACAGTTTAACTATTTACCCTATAACAGTAACTAATTTTTGTCTTACCAATATCCAACGGAACTTTTCTGGTATAGTGGAACATCAAACGAATTATATTCTGGGCAGCGTTGCTCGTTGGGTCATTGTGCTATGCAAGCCTGACCACTACATTAAGGAGCCAACTGCTGGTTGGGCACTGTGGTTGCAGTAACGGCAAATCTTGAATCAGCAGTCCGTTAAAGAATAAGTAGGTGGGTTTAAATAACAGCGACTTCGAGAATATGTATGTGAATAGAATCTTTATTAGAGTGTAGAAATTAGGAATATACATTCATCAAGAAAAAAGGTTATTTCGCCGTAAGACAGGTGAATTATTATATGAATAAATGAATTTCCGGGTGATAAAAAGAGGCCCAAAATGCAAATCAACATTTTAAGTCGTTTATCGTTAAAGTAGATTTTGTATTGCAGTTTTTGTTTCATGCTACTGTGTAGTCAAGAAAAACGTTATTGGAGGATTTTGTCCTACAGTTGACTAATCAGAATAGGCTTTTTCACTTTCGACTTAGTGGTTCTACATATTCACGAAAACTGTGCATAAATGACGAATTTTTGTCGAATTAAGTGTCTTCCTCACAATCACAGTTGAGCATTTGTCTGATCAAGGTAATAAGGGAGAATAGCCGCTATTTGTATCCAGTTCAAGTGTCTCATTGGGCTGATATCGTTATCGTATTTATCTACTCGGTTATTTTGTGTTGAACAACTCTGAAGAAACCAATTTCTCGAAAAGTGAATCGCGTATTTCTTTTAAATTAATTATCATTGTAGAAATTAATCGACTTCCATATAAATCATACAAAATATGATGATCCAATGAAGCTTATGTTCACATCAACCTGGTTTGTCTATTTCATCTAGAAAGGCAGATTTTCGTAAAACAGAGAAGTCCCACTGGTTATTTTAGTAGTTGCTAGGATGGCCTATGAAGTCCTCCGAAAATTCTGTAAGATTTCTTTATTTCAGCTGAAAAAATAGCAGCGACTTGAAATACCCCTGAGGTAACTAATTAGTCGTTTATATTTTATGAAAAACCACCTTTTTAGCAGGAACACCGAAATCTGATTGGTTATTACAGAAGTTGCCAGAGTGGTCACTGAAGTCACTCCAAAATATGAGTGACTTTAAAAGTCACCCCAGTAACAACTGATATAACCAATAAGACTTCATTATTTTATGAAAATCTGCCTTTCTAGCAAAAGTGAAGAAACCTAATTGATTGTTTTGATCGTTATTAGGGTGGCTCTTCAAATTCCTAGCCGAAATACGGAGACCTGATTAATTATTCTAAAGGCTTCTAGGGTGACCTTTAAAGTCACTCAAAAAATAGTGACTGAGTGACTGTAAAGGCCAATCTAGCAACTGATTGAACAACCAGTCACGTTTCTCCATCCTATGAAAAATTGTGATCATAGCTAACATGCCATAATTTGATTGGTTAATTTAGCAGTTGTAAGAGTGACCTTTAAAGCTCTCCCTTTAAAACGCTACCATAGCAACAACTAAAATAACCAACTAGACTTCCCTATTTTATGAAAATCTACCTTTACGGCCGAAAACTAGAAGCGTAATTGGTTTTTTTAATTGTTGCTAGTGTGGCCTATAAAGTCAATCAAAAATATAAACAAACTGAAGTGATTGCCATGATTTAACCGATATGCCGTATCGTCCCGAATATATTTATGGACCTGTTAGTTGGTTGGAGG